ACACATCATGACCAGCCTATCTTTGGAACTTGGTAATAATTATAATTGACGGTTGGAGGTGTTTTGTACGTGTTTTTGTTACGTTGAAAAAGCTTTTGCTGTAGCAATGCCGAAAGGTATGCCATCTTAAAACTATCTTTCTAATAGGAATAGCATGCCACAGTACTAGTATGGAAGTTTTTTTGCATTATACTTCAATGCCTGTGTGGTTAATTTAGACAAAAAAACAACAATATTTTCGATTCGTTGTCTAGCAGTTTTGCAACCAACGAGTGAATACTTTTCTCCAAAAATAAGCCATCAATGATGGCTGTAGACACCTTTTCCTTACCTCCTCTCCCACCCACTCATGTGGTATAATGTCACTTGCGATGCAATTGCCTTCCTTCATTGACCACATATACCGCGGTTAGTTGAACTCTCACAAAATCGATAGAATCCTGTAAATAAGGCAATTAAAGGCATGAATATCCCCTAGGTGGATGGAGATTGATTCTATGAACTTGAATGAGAGACAACTTCCATACTGCGTGCACTATATTGGGCTCAAGCTATCTGCCAGTTTGACCAAACAGCCTTTTAGTGGCGGGCAATCAAGCTGCTTAACAAGGTGCATTGTCTGGTCTAGACATTGGTCGTTACCGGCCGGTACTCGTCTGCAGGTTTTATTTAAGTGTTAGACGAATGCTTTGTTTATGTACAGCAGCGGGAAGTGACAGTTTGTCAATGCTGTGATGAGGACATCGTCTTGAAGGGGGAAGAGGGATGGAAATCGTGTTGCCGTCGTTATCATGCAACGGCAATACAACAAGAGCGGAAGGTCATCTGATGGGTACTCCATCAGATGGGAGATAGACGTTTGCCTAGCAGGTGGGCACGTAGGGTTAATCCTTTCAACAGCAAGGAATGTCAGATGGATTTCTCGTTCAATTACCGTCCCGCTACCTAAAATCCTCACGCCCCCACAGGCGTCCTGCGTGACATTGGGAGGGCGTCTAACTTCATCTAAATCCGGCGGCGAGGATTGGGACCCGGTAAGAAGATTTGCCGTACAAATCCCATCAGCGTCAATTGACAGCGTCATCGCTCTGTAGGCTCCAGCATTGCCTGCCGACGGTAATCAGAAATGACAACGCCGTGGCTTGATACACTTTGATAACAGCCACTTCCCCCTACGCAATGCCCAATTGCATGCTTATATTGTCTTGCCTTTGCTATAAATCATGCCATGACAAATGTAATCCTGTCCTTGAGGCATCTTTTAATATTTGGAAGGCTGTAATGAAAAAAGGATGTTCCATACTTCGATGATAGCTTAGAGAGTGATAAGGGAGAAATTGTTTTAGTTTGGAATTTTCATGCTTTCATAATGAACGCGTTCTGGGGTATGAGGTGTAACGATATCGAGAACTTGGGTGAAGAATGGAACACCAACAGGTGGCAATAACGGGTGTATAAACGTGCCTTTTATGTAAATTCCATATAAAATAAATGTAACATAATGTGTCTACATCAAAATCTTGGGCGTTAATTGTCTTAGAGTTCCAAGGCAGGGAGCAAAGAGACCAACGTCACATAGTATATAAAGATGTCAAAACGGCGACGTTTAGGGCCCTGGTTGTTTGTTCAGTGTATCTATTCACGGTTAAAAAATACTCCTCTTTACATAGCCATCTGTAGGCACATGTAGGCACACATTTCTCAAAGTTTCTCTGCTAAATTTTTATCAAGGTCATGTTCATACCTCTGTCTCTGGTAGTGTGGGTAAGGCAGAGCTTTTGGGGTGAAAAGGCCATGGCACTCCGTGAAGACCTGTATAAATTTGTCCTTCAGGAGAAAAAAGAAACTTTTGGGCGCTCTCATCGAAAATCGAAGCCCACCGCCATGTCCCTCACCGACCGTGGCCTCCAGGACGTTCCTTCTCGTAGATTTTCCCGTCAGTAATGTTTTCAAGCAAAATTTTTCAAGGCAGATGTTTCCCTCTTGTGGTTGGTTTCTGGTGACCTTATCTCTTCGACCCCGCCCTCAGCACGCCCCAACCACCGCCGGGCACCACAGCGGCTGTTCGGAAGGTTCAGGTCAGTCTGCTGAAGGATCTTCTGTGCCATGAGTGCGGACAGCTGTCGTACGTTAATGCCAACCTGACACCCTTCACCCTTTCCCATCGCTTCTGCAAAACCTACCCGCATCGATCCCACAAGACGCAGACACTTACATTGCTGACGGAGACAAGGTTAATAGACGGAGTATCTGGACTCATTTATTGCGTTTTTTATGAACTAGAGTTCCCAGTTTATGTACAGTTGTAGTGGTTTACTAACGACGTTACCCACCCCTAGGGAACAGCATTACGAACCATCGTACGAAGCTGACAGATAGTCCGAAGTGTGAGGCAGAAGGCAACGGATGGCCCCTTGACCAGGTCATGTCGCAATGTTTAGCCCAGGGGATTTCTGAAAAACAAGACATCAACAACAAGATTCGACGGGTGGCAATAACTCTTTGATAATCTTCCTGCAAGTCATGCGAAATCAATGAATCAGTCTCAGATGACACCTGGAAGAGATATATTGAAGCATTGTTAGCTGTAGAATTCGAATGATTTTCCATTGTTGGCGATGGGCCCTACTTCTTTTTTATTTGCACTGTACATAGACGTTTGGTAACTTGTACTGTCCTTATGATATCACTTGATGTGGTTTTGTGAAGTCCCAAGGTTATCAACATATATTTTCAATCTTCTCAACCATGTGGTTGCCTTAGCTTCAGTTTTACGCAAGGACATTGGAACTTTTTTTTTCAAAATAACTCTCATTTCTCTTCACTGAATTTGCCCTGAAGGAAATCTGTGTGATTTTCAAACGTAGTTTGCCGATGAGTTGTGTATTAACTTTATTTTCCCAAAGAACCCCATTCACGACTATCATGCAGGTCACGTCGCTAATTTGCGGTATTAGAATCCCAAAATGGTACCTTGTAAGCTCGGCCCATAAAATGCGCCCTGATATCAGAGCAAGTTCACGGTTAGATTCATAGTTATTTGGCAATAAAGGCCTTCTGGCTTTTGGTGTCTGCGATATACTGCCTATATACGCCTGTGGGAAACTTTTAACCTTAACCTCCAGACTGTGAAACTATCCAAACTTTCATGACATTGTCAATCACGGACACTTTGTGGGAAAATCTCCATACTCAATTGTCTCTGTTTGTGAGACAGGCTTACCGGGGTGGGGTCACCTGTAATACGTTACAACCTATAACCATCATTTTTAAACTAGTGTGTCATTTAACACACATTTGATAAAGCTTTTTTCCCATCGTACATGGCATATATGTGGCAGGCTAGAGACCTAGTTGCTGCATGAAATATATCTTTCATTAAAAGATCGTGCTTGTTAAAGTTTGTTTGACAAAGCAACTTATCGTTTTTGTTGAGCTTGCAGTGAAAAATGATCATTAAAGTCACAATGTATTGCATTCATAACCACGTGTAAAGGTCGCGACACTTTGCCACATGTTAAGAGGGACTAATTCATACTTCACTGTACCGTTTTGCGTTGATACGCTGGTAAACTTTGTATTGTTTTGTATCGGTAAAGTTACGGATACAGCTTGCTTGTTAAAATTTGTTTGACAAAGCAAATTGTGGCTTTTTTTTTGGTGAGCTTGCATTAAAAATAGATCATTAAAGTCAATTCATTGCATTTATAACCAAGCGTAAAGATCACGCCACATGTTACCGTACCGTTTTGCGTTGATTCGCTGATAAATTTTTCCATTGTTATAGGATGTTTCATTCGGTAGAGTTACAGATACAGTCTGCTTGTGTTAAAGTTTGTTTTACAAAAACTTGTTATGTAGTTTTTGTTAAGCTTGCATTTAAAATAGATCAGTTAGGCCAATCTACCACGCGTTAATAAGGGCTCATTCATACTTCACCGTACCGTTTTGCGTTGATTCGCTGTTAAATTTTTTCATTGTTGTAGCAGGTTATATCCCGATTCGGTAGTTACAGATATAGCTGTGCTTGTTAAGTTTGTTTGACAGAGCAACTTTGCCATTCATTCATTGGTTGAACTGTTAATTATGATGGACAGTTAAGATCGGCCTAAGAGAAGGGAGAACAATGCGGGTCCGCCTTAGTACATGTAGCTAATGGTATGCGGTGAACATGTGATGGTGGTATTAATGATTAACGTTTGGTGCCTAAAGTTGGACATTTGTCTCTTTCATTAAAAGGTGACTAGTCTTAGCAACTGTAAACACACTTTCTAATTGGCGTTTGTTTTAAATAACTATCGAGCAGTCAGTTTAATTAACCTCTAATATAAATGGAGTTTTAACTGTGTCGTGAGTTAGACCACCATGCCACCTGGCAACTGTCCTTCAAGTTTTTAGTACCTTGCACTTTTGCAGTAGTTTGTTTGGGGGCGCTTTAGTTTATTGTGCAAGATGGGGTCGTGTGACGTAACGGTAGAGTGTTCTGCTCAGACCCAAAAGGTCCCGGGTTCGAATCCTGATAGTCGCCTGTTACGACAATCCTTTCACAAATGTGGTAACTATTCAGAACTAACTAAACGTTGTATCTGCTCTATCTCAATTTTACTAATTCGACATTTTGTGGTTAGGGCATTCACTGCAATGTGCTTTGCCTAAAAGGAATTTATATTCAAAGCTATTAATTGAGAGGAAGGACCTAAGGCAGGAAGATCTGGCAACACCTCCGCTACAAGGTCACCCCCCCCCCGACCAGCGTCGGTCATGGGACTAGGTAGGTAGGTATCCAGGTAGGTGGGTAATTGACAGGTATTGGCTTAACTCATCACGCATTCTATTACTGTAACTATTAAATTATAGATTTTACACTATCAAATAATTACAAGCGTAAGGAAAAATAAGATAATCAAATACGCAACAGAACAGACACAGAAATATTATTACATTTGTTATATGTTTTAATGAAAGCAGATTGATAGTCAAGATCCAAGTAAGTCAGAATCGTGCAGATAATCTATGCAGCTGTCATGGAGCCCATCTGAGATATGTCCCATACACGTCAAAGTGGTCTCATGTAGCATTATTGACTGTAAAAGGGATATGATAACATTGCCCAATATTGCAATAATTGTTGGTATTCAATACATGAGACAATTTATCCAATGAAACATACCTCTGAAGGCACTTGCTTGCAATCACGCAGAAAATACTAAAAATACATTGAAGCTGTGTTACAATATACTTTGTAGCAGTGGGTTTTCTCATCGGGCCAGGGTTATTAACGCGATCTATGCCTTGACAATTCCAGCAGTAACGGGCGTCGATGCTTTTCCCTTTTTACCACGTTTTCCTTTCTTCCCCTTCTTTCCCCCCTTGGACTTCCTTTGCTTCTTAGAGCATGAACTCTTGTTTCCTTTTCCGCTAAATGGATTAGAACTCCTCTGCCGCATTTGCCTACTGCCACTGATCCCTCGTTGCCCAGCTTCTCCCATGCCGGCTGCTTGGTTCTTTCCTTTCTTCTTTCCCTTGCCTTTACCTCGTCCACCTTTTCCCATCTTCTTGATCTTCTTTCCTTTCCCCTTGCCTTTCCCCTTTCCTTTCCCCTTGCCTTTCTTTCCTTTCCCCTTGCCTTTCTTGCCATCTGATTCACTTTCTGAAATGGGCACAAGACTCCCACTTGGCGCGGTTGATCGTTTCTCACGCAGATGAACAGCATTCTCTCCGTTACCTACCTCGCTAGGCTCTTTGTCTCCTTCGTCTTGTCCACCTTCAATGCCATCTCCTTCACTCATTACCAATGCTAGCAACGTAAGACGGTCCAGGTTATCCTCTTCGTCATCTTCTTGGTCATCTCCCTCTTCCCCAATTTGCTCTTCTCGATCTTCGTCTTCCTCTTGACCATCTTCATATTCTTCCTGTCCATCTCCATTTTCTCCAGATTCCTCTTCTTCGCCCAGCTCGTTTACACCGATCTCTGCATCTTGCACCTCTGCATCACCTCCTTCCTCAAACCGTGTCTCCCCATCTTCTGGTTCATCTTGCTCATTTTCACCGTCTTCATCTTCTGTTTCTTCTTCTTGGCCTCCTATCTCATCCTGCTCTTCGTCAGCGTGCTCGCCTTGACCATCTTCCTCATCTTCCACTTCTTCTACTTCTTCATAGACGCCATCCTCATCTTGCTCTTCGCCACTTTGCTCGTTTTCACCATCTTCCACTTCTTCCTCATCTTCCTCTTCCTCGTCTAGGTCGTTTTGGTCCCCTTCCTCATCTTCCACTTCTCCATCTTCTTCCTCATCTTCTTCTTCGCCATCTTGCTCGTTTTCACCATCATCCTCATCTTCCACTTCTTCGTAGCTTCCATCCTCAACTTGCTCCTCTTCGTCTTGCTCATTTTCGCCGAATTCTTCCTCGTCTCCTTCCTCATCTTGCTGTCCCACAGTTTCCTCTTCTTCATCTTCTTCAAAGTCACCTTCCTGCTCTTGATCTCTCTCGTCATTCTCCTCGTCAGCTCGTTCCTCCTCAAGATAGGCCTGCTCGTCAAATGGCTCATCTTGATCGTTGTCCTCTTCATCTGTATTCTCCGGCACACCTAAGCTGCAAAAAATACAGGAGATATTGTTGGTTCATACAGGATTTTGTGTTTACGTATAACGGTGACTCAAACTTGTGTACGAATATTCAAAAATACATCGCTGCCTCATGCAGTACTGACCTCTCGATGACTGCACTGTTGGCCTCCTGCTGATCATAAAAGGACTGCAAGGCCCGCTTGTACAGCTGAGTGTTCCAATCACGGAGAGCAGCTATTGGCAAAAAAATAGGCTCATTAGTCAACAGCAATGACTTTTGCAACTTCAACATCACTGCATTATGTTCAATATTCAACCATACATTAATAATGCGTTATGCGTAAACGTCCCGTTATGTCAGTCAATTGAAAAAAAACGGTTCGTAAATGTACCGTTTGACTGAAATAGCAGAGCCTTTACGCATGCTTTAATAAGTACTTTAACATCGGGCTTCTATCATCTACAGTAGTACAATCATGAAGTACCAAAAGCACAAACCTGTTTCGGACTCCTTTCCATAAGCAAGGGCTGCTGCTACGTCCTCATAAGGATAGTCATCTACCCCGTTGTAGTCCCTGTGCTCAGAGATTGGATGGGATGCCGACATTCCGAGATACACGCAGAGGGCAAGCCCCCAGAGTAGAGCCCACGAGGTGCGTGGCCTCGTCATTGTCTTCCCCTTTGCTTGTCCACGCTAGTAGCCCAAGTGCTGATCGCACAAGGAACGTGTAATTCTGGAATACGAATTGGCTTGAGTCACTTTTAGGCCCGAAATATATAGTCATGGAGAGACTGTGCTGCCGTGTGATTGGTTGGCGGTGCCGTATTTGAATGCATCTGGATGTCACCAGGGCTACAGGAGAAATTCTGAACTAGAATGCGGACCACCCTTGTTGCGTGTTCTTACGTACGTTTGTGTGCGGTCTACATTCCAAAGTTTAAAGAAAGATTTACATGTAATTCCATAATGTAGTTTTAGGGATTACTGTCTTGTAAGGTGATTGTCTGCAATCACCTAACAAGTGATGATTAGATTATGTTTAATCTAGACCGCATAAAATTTCGTTGTGTCGCACAGGTAATGAGATAAAAGTAATTTTCAAGAAAATTGCTATCAATACCTATGATTACTAGTTTGTGGAGCGTCATCATTGAATTACTGGCTGACCACACAACTTGTTAAGACGCAAGTCTGTGCTACGCTGCTCTATCCATTTGAAATGGAATACATTTACTCTGTAAAGATCTAGTAATACACAAAGTGGTGCTTTTTAACTGGATCTATTTGCAATGAAATAGCCATCTGTATCTGTAACTGTACAGCTGATGTGACCACCCCTTTGCGTAACACACATTAGGCACCTAGTGATGGTGCTCCTACTGTACTTCATAGCAGCGAGTTTCACTCTACAATCTTTCTATAAAATGAGTTTTTGACACTCTTAATCCTTGGTTGATAAGTCGTGTACTTGAAGGCATCACTATTTCTTGTTCTTGTCTCAGGTAGTATTAGGTACATAGCAAAATTCCTAGATATATGCCAAAAAATTGTAATCAGTCATGTCAGTAATGCAACCTGTTCAAGGTTTGTGTGTGTGGGGTTTTTTTTGCCAAGGCCAGTATGATTGGTTCTCGAGAATTGTAAATCTAATACGTAACCTGTCTCGGTTTGAAACTTAATTCGTGTCCGTGACGTAATTTTAGATTGCTTTCTACTCTTGCAAAAACAAAATCCCATGTTTTACCCTTTTCCCTCCTACCTCAAGCTCTCTGCGCAAAAGGCATGGTTTTGTTCTATAGGCCTGCGACTCCATTAATCAAGCTTTTAGATTGTAGACAAAATATTCATAAACCAACATTGTGAATTAGGTTCCAAGTAAAATTAAATTTGCCGTGGTGTCCTTGGACCAACAGGGACAAAATTGCAATTGCGTACAAAGATTAAAATCAAGTTAGAATGTTTCTCTCTCCCATGGGATACGCACGTAAGCTCCCACGTAATATTGTCCTTGGTCATCTACCTCTATGTTGAGTGAATGTTACCAGCAGAAGTAATTTCCCACTACTCCGGTGGCCAGATTCGAAGCTTGCTTTGATCTTCAAGAAAACATGATTAACTTCTGAGCGTGTTGATTTTATAAGATAAGGACTTTCCGTGTCCTGAATATTCCCACGAGAGGTCATTGAGTCTCAACTGCACCTTTAAAATCTTTGTTCGTAAGTATCAAAAAAGATGTGCATCATCAGCTCATTTAGCAAATCAACAATAATGGTGTAGATAAGTATGGAGCCAACGTGCTCAGTTACCATTGCTTCTTTTCTCTAGTCTTTTCTTCCTCATGTCACAATATACGTTATGATAAAGATATCACACTGCCTTGAATCGAATCTTTCTCATTCTCTTCCCCCCACCCCTCTCTGTGCCCCTCTCTTGGTTTGTCTATCTCCTGCGTCTTGTAATCATTCAACATGATATCGTCAAAATCGTATCTTCGAGGCTAATCTTTGTGCACTGTTTCCGTTATCTATATAATCTAGATACTAAAGACTACACTGGCAGATGGTGTTGTGTCGAACACATAGAAACAAATATACAGAACAGACAATATTTTCACTTGAGTTAAGTGGGGAAAGTCGTGTAAAGTGCCTTTACCAATGGCACAAGATCGGGAGCATGTCAGGACTGGAACCCAGGACCTCTTGGTTCCGAGTCGAGTACTCTGCCATGCAGTGCGCCACACGACCCCACAAGACTAGTTTCAATTTTTCATCATCACTTTAACAGACAATCCTCAGATAACGTTACCTTTAAAAACTGTCCTTGATTGTTATGTCACACGATTGTACATGTATGTCAATTATGTACCTCTTTTTAATGTAACTTTGTGAATATTAATAAAGTTTGAATAAAAAAAATCACTTTAAGCTTTTGATATGATAGTTATTACGGACCTTAGTTATTTTCTAAGTATATAAGGTAATTTATGTTTTATTATCATGTCTATGCTATGTTATGTCCCTATATATTGTGTACTGTTGTCTGTGTTGTCATATTTATCTGATGGTCTACTGACCCTTTTATATTTCATTATTACTAGATTCTCTAAGTTGTAGATTTTCCCAACATAAATGCTAACCAAAGCCCTAGGTTCGTGCACTGTGTTAAACTCACACACATATACACACAGACACAAGTAAATGTTTTGCGTTTACAGCTTTAATTTCTTCTGCTAAAGATTGTAGACATCATGGTTGAAATGAAAGCATACTAAGGCAGGTGTCCACGCCAGTGTTAGTTGTCATACAGTAGATAGAAAGTCCTAATACGTTCTCCAATCTAATAGTCGTTTTCTCCTCTTCCATTTCATTCAGATACCTGCTTGCCATTTCTAATTTCTATTAAGCTGAAGTTTCTACAACATCGTCTTATTCCTGCATTCATTTGTACCAATACCACAAGGGATTAGAAGCCAAGTTCGGTCCTATTCGTCAAATGTGTTCCTGATTCTTCTATACTTCTTCTTGGCACAACCATCCTGTGGTTTAGCCTTATTCAGCATTCATGGGACCTCCTTGGCTGCTCCCTCGGCCCCCGCGTTGTTGGCCACGTCCTTTTCCTTTTCCACGTCCTCCCTTACCCCCGGGGCCTCCTCGACCACGTCCCCCCTGGCCCATGGAACCTCCTCGACCACGTCCCCCCTTCCCCATGAAGCCTCCTTGACCACGTCCCCCCTGCCCCATGAAGTCACCTTGACCATGTTCTCCCTGACCCATGGGACCTCCTTGACCACGTCCCCCCTGGCCCATGGAACGCTGCTGACCACGTCCCC